CCAGCACCTGACCTCCAAAGACATGGACACGCAGACCATTGCTGTGCTTAGTAATTTAGATTGTCACATCATCATCCTCTCTGTGCCTTTTTTGTCCATCTTTCTGTAAAAATAAAGTTAGGCTTCTTTTTTTTTTTTTAACATGAAAAGGATCCATCAGATTTCACCAGGCTTAGAGGCCTGACTTTGCACAGAGGCTGCACAGAAGGCCAAGTTGGTGGTCCTCAGACTTGAGGACACAGATTCCTGGGCCCCACTCCCAAACTTGCTGATTCAGTGGGTCTGGGTGGGATTTGAGAGGTCCGTGTCTACCCGTTCCCAGGTAAAGCTGACGCTGATGTGGCTGGTGTGGAGACCACACTATGAGAACTGCTTCCTTAGGTGAACTGAAGTAGAACGGGTGTTTATCTGCAATCACCAGCCACACACACTGCTGACCTTCAGGCTAGAGACCCTCCAGAGGTGGTTGGGAGGCCAGCTTGTCCTCCTTAAGTGAATCCTGCTCGTAGACACAAGTGATTCTTTGCAACTTGATCCCTAAGACATGTACGATTGAAGTGAGGTGCAAGCAGATCTTTGGTAGCTTTAATTCCTTCCCACGCCCCACGGCCTAGTGAGTGCAAACAGCTGGGGCTCCCCCTCCAACACCTGACCTTCGTTTTTTTCCTCCTCTTAATCCACAGTGGCTGATAAAGTCAGGGTTTGAGTGGGACTTTGTGGTTTGAATTATTGGCCCTTGGGTGAGGTGAGACCCATTTGAATTGTTCTTAATTTTTCCACCACACGTTTGGGTTGAGAAGGAAGCAATTTTGTAGCCATTTCCAGGTTGGAAATAGTGCTCACAAAATAATAAATTGAGATAATCCAAACCATATTTCCAAATTCACACATAGTTAGTTGGAATGGAAACAGCTTTGTAAGACCTGGTCTCAGTGTCCTGACATTGGAGGCGAAGGTGTTTCCGGGAACTCTGCCAGACCCAAAGAAAAGAGCTACACATACAGGCCAGGCTTATCCTGTCTGGGTCTGTGTGTGGCCTGAGGAGAAAAGTAGGGCAGGGAGAAACCTTGGGCTGGGGCAGGTCGGGGGGCAGTGGTGCTCAGTGAGGGAAGACCAGGAACTTTCAGGAACAGGGATAACAAGTTTTCGTATTAAATGTGTCATATATTGTTGTATAGGGGGCTTCCCTGGTGGCTCAGTCGGTAAAGAATCTGCCTGCAATGTCGGAGACCTGGGTTCAGTCCTTGGGTCGGGAAGATGCCCTGGAGAAGGAAATGGCAAACCCACTCCAGTATTCTTGGCTGAGAAATCCTATGGACAGAGGAGTCTGGCGGGCTGTAGTCTATGGGGTTGCAAAAAGAGTCAGACATGACTTAGTGGCTAAACAACAACAACAAAATTGTTGTATAACCCTAATCTTAGAATGAGCCTGCTGCGGACGCTGTATTACCAGGGCTCACAGGGGTGGTCTCCATGGGATGAGAGAGGGGAGCAGCCCAGGATGATGCTGACACACGTCAGGTGGAGCGTTGACAGGCCCCAGAGGTTAGAGAGAGGGGTAACTGAGAGAGCAGCGGCCCAGAGGTTTACTGAGATCCTTTGGGGAAGGTTACTGGACTTCCCATAGCTTATGCCCCACAAGACTTGAGGTATTTTTATTTAACTATTGAAGAAAAAGGTGGCCTAACAAGAGGGTACCCAGGTGACAGACTCCTTGTAACCTGAGGCTTTATAGGCAGATTCTAAAATCACAACTCTGATTGGATTTGCCCCATTCCTTTCTCAGATTTCTTCAATCTCAAGAAAGTATGCTCACTGGAAGGATGTTTCTGAGCCGCTGCTGGGGCCTAACCATGTGGCAGATGCTGAGGAAATCGTGGGGGCCGTGAGGCAGGCCCTCATTTCAAGGAGCTTGTCTCCTGGCTTCCCTCCCACGTCTTCTCTTCCTACAAACCACGGTTCCACCACCTCCGCAGTGCAAGTCCACCTTCCTTCTTTGTGCTCTCACCAAAGACCCACTCCCAGAGCCCGGGGATTCACCCATTTATTACACAACTGTTTGCCAGGCACTGTCTGGGGCAATGAGGACTCAGTAGTGAAGAAAAGAGACAAAAACCTCTTGCTTGCCTGAAAGAGACAGAAAATAAATAGATACAACAAAGCAAAGATATGGTATGTAAAAGATTAGTATGTTAGGCAGTGATGAAGAGTAAAAATAAGGCAGGGAGGGGAATAAAAGGAGTCTGGAGTGGGGTTTATTGGGCTGGCCAGGGCAAGGCCTCTTCAAGAAGGTTTGAACTTAGGATAGGGAGGAAAGGCAAGTACAGAAGCATGAGGTAGAAGCTCACTCCTGGCACCTGAGGAGGAGTGGGGAGACCTCTGTGGCAGGAGCAGAGGTGGGAGGGAAAAGCAGGAGATGAGGCCGGAATGGGGGCAGGGCTGGGATGAGATCACCTTTGCCTTGCAGGGCTTGGTAAGGACCTGGTTTTACTCTGCACCATGTGGGAAGTCATAGGAGGGTTCTGGGCTGAGTGGTGACCCAGCATGTTTTAGTTTTAGCAGGGTCCTTCTGGCTGCTGTGTGGGGAATGGGCTTAAGGAGAGCAAGGAAGAATAATCAGGAAGTTCTGGCAGAATCTAGGCAAAAGATGAGGGTGGCCTGGACCACTATGTGATGGTGGTGATGGTGATAAGTGGTCAAATCCAGAGTGTCATTTTAAGGTAGAGCCAGTAGGGTTTATTGACAGATTATGAGATATGAGAGAAAGAAAGGACTCAGAGAACCTCAGCAGACATTTTTCCAGAGAGGATGTACAAATGGCCAACAAGTACATGAAAAGGTTCTCAATATCACTAATCATCAGTTTTGTTCAGTTCAGTCGCTCAGTCGCGTCTGACTCTTTGCGACCCCATGAATTGCAGCACGCCAGGCCTCCCTGTCCATCACCAACTCCCGGAGTTTACTCAAACTCAAGCCCATTGAGTCGGTGATGGCATCCAGCCATCTCATCCTCTATCGTCCCCTTCTCCTCTGCCCCTAGTCCCTCCCAGCATCAGAGTCTTTTCCAAGGAGTCAACTCTTCAAAGTGGCCAAAGTACTGGAGTTTCAGCCTCAGCATCAGTCCTTCCAATGAACACCCAGGACTGATCTCCTTTAGGATGGACTGGTTGGATCTCCTTGCGCTAATCCTCAGGGAAACACAAATCCAAACCACTATGAGTTAACACTTCACACCTGTCAGAATGGCTGTCATTTAAAAGTCAAGAAGTAACAAGTGTTGGCAACGATGTGAATAAAAGGGAAACTTGTGCACTGTTGGTGGGACTGTAAATTGGTGCAGCCACTCTAGAAAATCTTGAATATTCTTCAAGAAGTTAAAAATTGAACTATCATATGATCCAGCAATTCAATTTCTAGGTAGATATCTGAGAGAATCACTCAGATATCTAGTAGTAATGAGATAGTAATGAGATCATTATCTGGAAAAGATTACCTGTACCCCTATGTTTATTGTAGCATCATTTACAATCACCAAGACATGGAACAACCTAAACATCCACTCACAGATGAATGGATAAAGAAAATGTGGTGTATTTTTATATATATAATGGAATATTATCCAGCCAAGAGAAAGAAGGAAATCCTGCCATTTGCAACAACATGGATGGAACTTAAGAGCATTATGAGAAGTGAAACAAGACAAAGACCAGTGCTGTATGATCTCACCTACACATGGAATCTGAAAGAAGAAACAAACTCACAGAAACAGAGAGTAGATTGGTGGTTGCCTGGATGGTGGAGTGGAGGATGTGGGTGAAGGCAGTCAAAAGGTACAAACTTCCAGTTACAAAATTAGTAAGTTTTGGGTGTGTTAATATATAGCATGGTGACTATGTTAACAACACTCTATATACTTGAAAGTTGCTAAGAGAGTAGAACGTAAACGTTCTCACCACAAAAGAAGGTGACTAAGCGAGATGATGGATGAGTAATCATTTCCCAGTGTATACGTTTATCAAATCATCATATAGTACACCTTTAACTCATGCACTGTTACATGTCAATTACATCTCAATAGAGGCACACAGAGAAGGACCTAAAGCTGGCAAGAAGTGTCTTGACCTGAGCAGTTAGAAGAAAGGGATGCCATTTACTAAACCAGAGGAGACCGCAGGAAGAGCAGATGGGAAAGATTTTGAGCTTGATTTTGGACAAGTTAGAGCTTGAGAAACCTACTAGTGGAGATGTCACATAGGCAAGTGGATATCCGACTGTAGCTTAGGTGAGAAGGCCAGGCTTAAATTTGGGAGTGACTATAATGACCCAACATAGACTCAAGCTGGGAAAAGAGGACATGAGGGACTTCAGGGTCAGTGAAAGGGGGAAAGGATCGTTAATTTGAAGCCGGGGAGCCACTACCACATAAAGTCACCAGAGAAGCAATGTCCTCAGAAGAGCAAGTGTCAGCGCGAAGTAAGAAGCATTCAGAAAAGCAGAGGGTTGAGTAGGCATATTGCTGCCAACTGACAGTGAATTCCAGGTACACAGCGGAAGAACCTCAGCAGAAAAGAAGAGAGGGGTCAGAAGATGCGACAGACTGGACTGAATGTGCATAATGTGTCCAGGGTACGAGGAATGATCACTGAGTTTGGGGCTTCTCTTGAGGAACGTGGTAAACAGCGATAACGATGGTCTCCAGACATGAGGGTGTGGCGTGGATGTGAGAGTGCATGCGCAGGGGGAGGGACGTGGCCGGGATTGTCCTCCTTGATCCTGAGCTCCGCTCACCTTAATTCTCTCCAGCTTTGGCCCAGGGTTGACCAGGTTTTCTTCGTTCTACCTCAGCATCCAACTGGGGCTCTTTTCCTACCAGACGGGTTGATTGCAGGCTACCCTCCGTCTGAGCTGGGTCTCCTCTTTGACCTGCGCTGCTTGGGAAACACCAACTTTAGAAAGATTCCTTCTGGTACTTCACACAGGCGCTGCGCTCTCGCCTTCTTCTAGATCCTAAAGGTAAAGATGTATTTGGAACTCAAGGGATTGCCTGATGTGTGCCTGAACCCAGCTTCTCTTTTATAATCCCTTAGATTTCTATATCCTTTCACTCATATCCACCCCCTTCACCAGCCATAAAACGATGCCAGATTTGTTAAGGCAAGTGTTTTGTGTTCCTTATTTTTAGTTTTTAAAAAGAGCTAAAGTCAAGTATCTTCATTGTGGCCTTCTTCTTTTTAATTTTTTTATATCTATAAGCTTGGTAACTTCCGTGATTAAAAAAAAAAGGACCCCCTTGTCCTCTTCGAGCACCTGGAAGCATTTATTTTCTGACAGTTTTTCTCCTATCTGAGGACAGTGGTCCACCCACAGCCTTTCAACAGCCTGGGGTTTCTACCCTCTTGCCCACATTGTTTGAACTCATCTTCCTGACCATGGACTTGGGACTGGGTCTGCAGGACCCCATCAGTTTCGAGCTATACCAGGGGCAAAAAAGTCATCCAGCAGGAGAAAGAAATGAGAGGATGGACTCCTGAACGTCGATGCACCCAAGAATGAGGACAGACAGAAAAGGCCCACTGCACAGGGCACCGTCAGGTCAGAAATACAAGGGCAATTAGACAGAGAGAGCAAAGACCCCTTTTGTCACCTGGTTCTTTTTCCTAGAGATGCAGTCTTTTCAGAGATGCAGTCTTTTCTGGTGGTTGTTTGCAGCTCTGCCGGCAGTTTTCTTGTCAGATATTCTAGGGTGGAATGAAACTAATACACGATTAAATGTTCATCAGCTGCTACCACAGCGTTGGATCAGAGAAAGTGATTGCTGGGTTCTGGTTTTTAATTTTCTTCCCGCACAAGAACACAGAATTTGGTCACCCTGACCAGCAGGTTGCTGGGCCCACACCCTGCTCTGCAGGGCTCTTCAGAGAGTATTTGTTACGGGTTAAAGGGAAGGAAGTCGCTCAGTCATGTCCAACTCTTTGCCACCCCATGGGCTATAGCCTACCAGGCTCCTCCATCCATGGGATTTTCCTTCTCCAGGGGATCTTCCCAACCCAGGGATCGAACCCGGGTCTCCCGCACTGCAGGCAGACGCTTTACCATCTGAGCCACCAGGAAGCCCTGTTACAGATTAGGGAGGAATATATCTTCCACTGTGCACTGCACATTAATGATCTCACTTGGGGCACGTTCCCTTCTTAATTATGATGATGATCTGAAGCTTGAGGAACTTTGGAAAGTTACCCATCTGCCTCTGCAAATGTATGTGTGGTCTCTGAGAAAAGAAAAACCATCCTTTGCATTTTAAGTTCTTTTCTTATTACCCTAAGAAAATAACCTGGGCAATAGGTATGAAAGAGGGTTGTGCGTGCCTGCTAAGTCACTTCAGTTATGTCTAACTCTTTGTGACCCCATGGACTGTAGCCTGCCAGGCTCCTCTGTCCATGGGATTCTCCAGGCAAAAATACTGGAGTGAGTTGCCATGCCCTCCTCCAGGGAATCTTCCTGACCCAGGGATCAAACCCAAGGTTCTTATGTCTCCTGCATTGGCAGGTGGGTTCTTTACCACTAGCACCACCTGGGAAGCCTGAGAGAGGGTGGTACTTAGGGTTTTTTAATGTACAAGATGATATATAGGTATAAAAACAAGTTAATAGAATAAATAAAACCAAAATTTAAATTGCTCTTTTAGTCTATTGGATGTTGTGGGCATTTTACATATAAGAACTTGCTTACGCTATATAATAGCCCTGAGTAGGTAGACATTATTAACCGCATTATATATATGGCAAAACAAACTTGCTAAAGAGTATGCAGTTAATAAAAGACAAAACAGAGATTTGAACCCAACTCTAACTTATTCTGGCTTCCCAGGTAGCGCTGATGATAAAGAACCCACCTGCCAATGCAGGAGATGTAAGAGATGTAGGTTCGATCCCTGGGTCAGAAAGATCCTCTGGAGGAGGGCATGGCAACCCACTCCAGTATGCTTGCCTGGAGAATCCCAGGGACAGAGGAGAGTCCATGGGCTAGAGTCCATAGGGTCGCAAAGAGTCAGATATAACTGAAGCGACTTAGCACACACACATGCACTCTGACTTACTCTGAGATCTCTGTTTATTCCCCTACATTGTGATGACTTTGAAAGGGACCCTATCGAGAAGATGAAAATGTCCTTTGCCTTGAAAATAACCAATACAACTTTATTAAGTACTGGTTGGATGGGAACACTTCACACATTCAAGCAAGACAGAAAATAATTCTCCTGAGTTACAGTTGAGTAATAGCCGGGAAAGTGGCATGTTTCCTATTATGTCAAGCTTGCTTCTCAGGTAGAAAGGGATGAAAGTGCTGATGCTGTTTATCTGAAGGATGCAGAAAAGTAGACATCTTCTAAACCAGAAAAAAGCACACTTATGTGTATATTTGCTCTGACATAAACTGGAACTGTGCCTAGCAAGACTACCCTAGTTGAACTGTGGTCTGACTGGACCAAACATACACACTCCTTTTCATGTTTCACCTGCTTCACGCTGGTGCCAAAAAGGAATGGTCAGAAAAGTGCTCCATGGGTCTCTGTTCAGTCCAGTGTCTGGGGTTAGTCTCATAAGTTACAGCAGGCTATTCCTGTCCTCTTGCTGACAGTTTGAAAGAACTGCCATCACATGTGTGAAAATAGCTTTGATTTTCTCAGATAAATCTTACTAAGAATATTTTCCTTTCTTGCAGAGTTCTACTAGATTTAAAATAGCCTCAAAACAAAACTGCATATATGTAGATCAATAGATATAGTATGCAGATAATACATATTATAGATTAATATGTTAATAACTACATATTATTTGTACTTATTCCTGCTGCTGCTGCTGCTGCTAAGTCGCTTCAGTCATGTCTGACTCTGTGCAACCCCGTAGACGGCAGCCCACCAGGCTCCGCCGTCCCTGGGATTCTCCAGGCAAGAACACTGGAGTGGGCTGCCATTTCCTTCTCCAGTGCATGAAAGTGAAAAGTGAAACTGAAGTCGCTCAGTCGCGTCCGACTCCTCGCGACCCCATGGACCGCAGCCTACCAGGCTCCTCTGCACATAGGAGAGGAGTAGTCTTCCAGGCAAGAGTACTAGAGTGGGTGCCATTGCCTTCTCCGTACTTATTCTGAATAATTTGTAATTATTAATTATATGATTTTATAATTTATGATTATACAATTTTAATATAATTTAAAATATATATCTGTATTATAGATATACATGGTATAGATATGTAAACATTATATATACTATATCTTTTAGCTATATATAGAGATATAGAACTATATATACATCTATGTACATATAAGAGTCTCTCTCTCTCTCTCTCTCTCTCTATATATATATATATATATATATATAAATTCAATGCAGAACTACTTCTGGCTTAGGATACCACATCTATATCACTGTACACTGTATACGATATCTACCTATCTATACCTATATCATATCTATATGTTCCTCTCTTAGAGGCACTAGTCTCCTCTCCTGTTGGCCTTGCTGACAAACACTTGGCCTTCCTATGTTAGGCATGTAAAGGGACCACTAAAACCCTACTGTTCTTGCTGGGCCCAGACAGGACTAGGAGAAGCCCAGCTATCTGGTTGCTCCTGGGATCTTGCTAAGGCCACTGAACTACTTTGAGCAGCAATCCCAAGTCTTATCCTGGTTTAAACAACAAGCCAAAAGCAAAGAGGTGCCTCAGAGGCAGGGAAGACATATGCCAGGATGATGGAATTCATCCTGCTGTTGGCTTTCTTTCCTTGAAAGGGGCTACCAGCAATTAAATAGCAAACAAAAGAGAGAGATAAGGCTTACACACACTGCACCCCCATCCCAGGTTCTGGAAAAGAGACCCCAAGGGGAAGATAAAATTTAGGAGGTTTGTTGAACCCACTGTAGAGCTGATCCAGAATTTAAATTGATTCCATAATTTATTGCATTTTAATTAGCAATCACAAGAGACCAAGTATTGTTTACTCTCTTGTTAGGAGCTCTAGCTGGGAACAAATACCAGAGAGTCTTAATAAGGATGAGTTATATTTACTGTTTTCCATTTTACAGTCTTGTTATAATCATCACAAGAAGAGATTCATTTAGTGCTCATCTGTTCTTGGTATGACATTTGTTGACCACTAGGGTGACATAAAATCAGAACATACCTCATAAGCCAAGAAAGAGCCTCCCCACCTCCACCCCACCCCTTGTTTACGCCTTCATTGTTTTCAATAATATAATTTAATGTGGAAATACTTCTGGCTCACGTTACATGACTTGAGTTCCCATGTGCCATCGTCACCCAAAATGCATCTAAATGACTGCTGTTGGTTATTTATTTAGGGCAGAATAATGCTACAAACACCAGATAGCTGTATTTCTGTGTGTTACTCCAACACGGTAACAGCCGCATCATACAGCCGGGAAGCTGAAGCCGTCAGTCCAGGGCCCCTGCACACACGGCAGCCTATTAGGCTCTCATCTGATGGGTTACCACACTTACTTTCTTTCATTCTATTATTTTGGTTAGCTTCTAGAATATCGGTTATTTTTATGGCATTTCCCCAGGGTCAGAGCTTTGGGGTTTTCCAGACAAAACTTGCTGTGGTTACTCACGCGGGAAGAACCCTGAGTCCCTCCCTGAGGCTCTCTACTTGTGGGGGTGGGACCCTGGCACAATGTATTTCTTTGAGAGCACTCTGGGTCCTCACTGGGAACATTATAAAGTACTTTTTAAATACCACCACCTATTATCACAGTGATTCCCATCAGTCAGGCCAGCTCTGCCTCTCAGATCAGGCGCCCCAGCAGGTAATGGAGCTCATTATCTCCATTCTGAAGGATATTTCACTAAACAAAGTGGGAGGACTTGATTCCAAAGGCCACCTTCAAAGAAAGCATGTTTTGTGTAATCTGAATACACATACCCTTTTGAGGCCTTTTCATTCAAAACGACCTGTTTCCCCAAAAGTAGGTGAAGTAACTGCCATTATTTACTCTGCTTTTTTTTAAACCCAGTTTTGCCACCCAGGCACAGAGGTACCAGTCCAGTGCTTGGGTTTTAATTAAATCTTGTTCCCTTTAAAAAGCTCCTATTGTTCTTTCATTTAAATAGGATTCTTCTTAGATCTTTAACAAGACCACAGAGGAGTAATAAATCTAAGTAATTGTCCTTATTAAGAGGAGATTATTCTCACAAGACTATAACAGTCACCAAAGTAACTAAAGCCATTTCCAGATAGCACTTATAGAATCCTCCTCCTACCCAAATATAGAGATGCCTCGTTAGTCACTTGCTTTGCTGCTTAAATTAAATTAGATGGCATTCTGTTTATTTTTCATATCTTTTGTTAACAGAAGGAGATTTTCCCTTTGATGATATTAATCAGGAATCCTCAAGTCCAACTACACAGGAGTTCATGGGATGGAGGTGACCTCTCCCTCTCATAATTGCTTTCTTCCTTCTTTCCTTCCTTCCTTCTACAGCTGATGCCTGAATCCCTGCTATGCCAGGCTCTCTACTAGGCACTAGTGGTTCAAAAATGAAAGACATAGTCCCCTGGATGGTATATTATCCTGTCATCTAATATTTACCAACCATCTTCCATCTTTATAGTGTAAGACACTGTATTAGGTGCTGAGTTTTCAGAGGGAAAAAGAGTCATACACAGTCCATGCTTTCTTAGAACCTGAAAGAATACAGACATTAATCCAATAACTCCATAATTGATTAATTGCAACCAAAACAAAAAGTTACAAGAGGACAGGATGCCATGTGATCATATTGCAGGGAGTTAGAAGCACTTCCTTCAGAACTATCCCCTTAGTTTGTTATGTTACATATGACTGGACATCTGCTTTCCTACCCCACGAAACTGTCTGAGAAACTTTCTCATTTTCTAAGTTCCTATGAAAGCAGCGGCTCCTGATATTTTCAGTTTTTATTTAAAACCTGTGTCCTAAACTGGCCTCCCTTGGTTATAGAAAGCTAACTTAACACGTGTAAATAGAGTTGTCAAAGAAAAAAAAATGACAGACTCAAGAACCCATCAAAGCTTCATTTCAGAATGTTACACATGTGTGCATGTGTGTATACATGAGAGCCTGCCAAGAACCACATGCCCTAAAAATGGGAGGAGGCTTTACACCAAAAAAGAAAGTATTGGCTGTCAACCTCATCGGCCACAGCCTTTGTCTTTGTATCTGGAGGACATAGCTTACGTCACAGCTCAGCTCTTAAACTGAGCTGTAAAAATACTGTGATTTCCTTTTCAGGAATTGCTATTAAGAAAAGATAAGTTTCTTGCCTCCAGAATTGCCAGGAACATAGAAATTCGGGGTATTATGTGCAGAATTCATTCCTGGTACACTAAAAAGAAGCAACCTAGAGCTGTGTATAGGTGGGGACTGATAGCTTACAATTTGAAACAGAAAATACCTGTCATATAAAAAAGTAGCCCTCCTTCGCTCACCCAATAAGTCAAAAAATTTTCTTGAAGAACAAGATCAGCAGTCCATCTTCAGAGAAGCCTTGACTGTGGCCACCACTGCCTTTATGGGTTATCCATGGGCTAGTCTAGATTCAGCCTTGCACATTGAGAATAATCAACCTAAAGCAGACCTATTTTTTAGATAAAGCCACGTTAGCCAGGTAGTGGGGGCTTCCCAGGTGGTGCAGTGGTAAAGAATCCACCTGCCAATGCAGGAGACACAGGTTCAATCCCTGGGTCGGGAAGATCCCCTGGAATAGGAAATGGCAACCAACTCCAATACTCTTGCCCGGAAAATTCCATGGACAGAGGAGCCTGATGGGTTACAGTCCATAGGGTTAGCAAAGAGTTGGACATGACTGAGCACACACGCATACACAGAGCCGAGCAATGCGGCTAAAGAATAAAAGCAATATGCCAGAGTACTGATTGGCAACAAGAATTGACTGTCCTAGGGACCAAAATGCTCAAAAGCCTACATGACCAGTACATTCTTTTCCTGAAGGCAGACAGTGCATCATTATCAGAAGGTTGCCTGGGGTTAGAGGAAGGCTTATGGAATCAGAACAAGAAGAGCTAAATGACTTGGATGTTCAGTGAAACCAAACTAATACAAACTGATGCTTCTATGTAAAACTAACCAAGGCTAGTTGAAACCCTGGAAGTTAATTGGACGCAGCCCTTTGTGTTCATCTTCACATTACAGATATCTTGGCCAAGAGTACCCAATGTCTGAGTTTGTTGGGCCAGACCCACTTTAACATGGATGAATCTTCCCCAAGCAGTACTTTGCTATTTACATGAAAGTAACTAAGAGAGCAGCCTCATGAGAGTCTTTTTGAGGTCATAAATATGGGCTACTTTCTCTTTACCAAGAGATAGTCCTTTTTTTTTTTTGCCATGCCATGCAGCTTATGAGATCTTAGTTCCCTAACCTGGGGTTGAACCAGGGCCATGGCAGTGAAAGCTCAGAATTCTAAACACAGCCAGGGAATTCTCACCAAGGGATAATTTTATAGGAAAAAAGTCCTCACCTTATATTTGAGCATATATGATATACATTTTTAATTATGAATCAAGTGTTTTAGATGGAACCATATATTTTCTTCCAATTAGGAAGAGAATGATGTTTTTAAAACTTAAGATTGGCCTACAGTGCAGGATATGCCACATACTCTGGGCTGATTTATGGGTTCCAGGAAAATAGGATGGGTTTGTTTTTTTAATAGTTTCCTTTATAGAATTCTTGCTGCATATATAGTTGTATTTTTTGTATTATTTTATCCCTTTCTTGAAAAAGCAAAACGGCTGTCCCATGCGAACCCCCTGTCCTAACACAGAGGTCTTTCCTGAGACTTGGGCCAGGAAGCGGGCTACTCAGAACATTTGTGTCAAAGGATCTCTGGTTTAATGACTGACTATCAATATAGAAGGAAGAAAACCTGGTAGATGGAGTATAAAAATTCTAGGAAAAATGAAAATGGCCTTTTAGCTTCAAAATCCTCCCCAGTGGAAGTGGCTCCCTTACTTCATGAAGCAGATGCCGAGGTGTGATGCTGTTTGAAGGCCTGGCCCCTAAAATGCCTTCCATGGTCCCCGGCTTTGCTAATTCTGTGCCTGGAGCAAAGGATTCTGGGATGTCAGAGATGCACACGATGTCAGGAGCTGGACCTGCGAGCCTATGACACAGAGTTGCCCAGCCAGTAGAATTCACATTGGACTTTGTGTGGATGAAGACTAGCTTTCGTTGTGCTAAGCCAGAGATGCTTGTAGTTGTCTGTTACCCACTCCACCCAGCCTAGCCTGGCTGCAAGAAGCAGGTGAATCCAGGGAGGAAGATGCTGCCAGCACTCGTGGATTTCATTCCCAGGGGCATCTGTTCTCTTTGTTCTGATAAATGGGCACAGGATGGACCTACCACTCAGGACATTTGTAAATGAATTTTTTTTTTTTAATTTTAAAGTATAAAACAATTTTTTGTTGTAGGTGATATGGTAAAGATGCTGGATAATTTTAACAAGAATGAGAAAGGATATAAAACTATATATTTTGAAAAGTAATTACAATCTGCCATCTTCCTGATCTTATTCCCCTTATCCTCTTAGCTTATTTTAGGTATAGTAAATAATTTTTTAAATCAAATCAATATTCGATATGGAAAAGCACATCAGACCTACTATTGTATACAAACTCACCTGGGGCCTCTTCAGTGTAGATCCTGAAGACGGGGTCTGAGCCAAGCTTGAACCCAAGTGTAAGCCAGGGTCTGGCATTCACTGGACTCTCCACCACAAACACTGATTGGATATCCAGCTCCTGAGAGACAAGCAAGAAATAAAGTCAAGTGTTCGGATCTGGCACAAAATGTAGTGGATCAGGAAGGAGCAGTCTGAGAATACGGGGTGCTGGCAGGGTCAGGGTTGCCAGCATTAGGGGGAAAGACTTTATACTGTGCTGAGTTGCCCAAAGGGTCTTTTTAAGCCCAGTTTTAAGTTTACAGCAAAATTAGGCAGAAAGCATATGCAGTTTCCTTATACCCAGTGTCTCCACACCTGCATAACTTCCCCCATTATCAACCTCCCCCATCATAGTGATACATTGTTCTAATTGATGAACCCACATTCCATATCCTTATCACCCAAAGTCCACGGTTTCTTTACAGTTCACTCTTGGTGTTGTGCATTCTACAGGTTTTGAAAAAAGGAGAGTGGCATGTATTCATCATTATAGCATCAAACATAGTATTTCACTGCTCTAAAATTCAGAGGTACGTTTTTACAGTGGACACAAATAAACAGCTCCGTCCACAGCTTTCTCTAAGGAGGCATTTTTTTCCCAGCTCACAGCCAAAAGACCGCAAGAATTCTTCTAGTATCCACGTGGGAGAGAAAAGCCCATGTAGGATCCCGGAAGATGTAAATGGAGCTTGTGGGGTCATTCCCAGCATTCCCTGGAGTTTAGCTTGAGAAAATAATAAGAATTCTATAGGATCAGTGATCTCACTCATCTGGACTACAGTAAATCTCTTCTATATTACTGCTCAGCCTCTGAGAATATTGCACTGGGTCTCATTTTATTAAAGAATGCCGTGCATACCCAGAAGTTGCTATTTAATTTTTAGGTGCAAGATACAATTTTGAAAAACCGTTATCTTGAAAGTGCAATAGAATCCGCCTGCAAATGCAGGAGACACAGGAGACAAGAGTTCGATTCCTGGGCCGGGAGGATCCCCTGAACGAGGAAATGACAAACCACTCCAGTATTTTTGCCTGAAAAATTTCATGGACAGAGGAGCCTTGTGGGCAACAGACCATAGGTCACAAAGACATGACTAAGCACATACACACAGAAAATGCAATAATCAAACAATGTAATCATGAATGTTAAACCTTCTTGGAATGTTATTTTAATTGCTTGCCGGCTGGAAGCAAGAGTTGACAAAGAAATGTGTGATTTGGTGGACTTTCTAATTTGTCAAAGCATCTACACTTTCCAACAAGATTTATTTGTTACAATATGTTGTTTCTCTGCATGATAGTTTTGAAACTACCAACGAGTGCAAAACCCTTAAACAGAATAGACAGATTTGCATTTCCTATTCGTTCCAGCCTAATATTTAGGATTAAATCACTCTAAGAGACACAATTGAATCATTTCTCAAAGGAGTTAGAAGGCCCACATATATCACCAGTTGCCTCCGAACCTTCTGGCTGCTCTGTGAGATCAGAGTCATAAATTTCATGACATAATGGAAAATATCAGAAAACCACAGCATGCATTTTCAGAGGGCGCAGAGAGGGGGTTCATGCTGTCATGAAACATCCCTGGTAATTCTTCCTATCACCTGCCCATGAATCTCTACAGAAAAGGGCACCTGAGTATTTGGCCAGTGCTGGGAATCTTGGGGGTCATCCAGCTGTTTGGTAGGTATATGCCACCTTCCCCATTCCAGCAAGAATGCCCTCATTTATGGCTCTGAATTTTGGCACCTGGGACCTCCCCTGTGTAGCATCCTCCTGTCTCAGTGAATTCCCCATTCTGTTCCCTCACACTTCCTACCTGCCAGCTCCCAGCACTTCTTTCCTTGTGCTGTAACTCACATGTCTGTCTTCACTATCAGGAAGTCAGACATTGAAATTACAGAGTCACTCAGTCGTGTCCAACTCTTTGTGACCACAAGGACTGTAGTCCACCAGGCTCCTCTGTCCATGGAATTTCCAGGCAAGAATACTGAAATGGGTTGCCATTTTCTCTTCTAGGGGGTCTCCCCTCCCCAGGGACGGAACCTGAGTCTCCTGCATTGGCAGGCAGATTCTTTACCACTGAACCACCTGGGAAGTCCAAACTTACAGAGACCTGGGCCTATGCCTTATTTTCTCTGCATGCCCTGAACTTAGCCGATACTCAAAGAAATGAGTAGATAGATATGCCCACCTGCTTGGGGAGTTGGGGGTGGAGCAGGGATTGGCCTTAGCTCCTGGCTACTCTTATTCAAACTAGCTTCATGCTGCAGGCAAGGACTTAACCTTCGTATGCCTCAGTTTCTTTATCTATAAAATGGGAATGATAATGGTGCCTACTTCATAAGATTGTGACTATCAAGTGATTTATACATATATTAAAATGATATCTTGCACTAGTGAGAGCTCAGTGAATCTTAACTAACAAAATGAGCTCTCAAAAAAAAAAATGTGAGCTGTCTATCACAGAATTTTGTGAGGATTCAGTGGTGGGCAGTGGTATTTCCCAGATTTTAGTTATTAATATTCATACACCATATAAGCAATTTTAAAAAACCTATGGGGTATAGTTGTTTTACAATATCATGTTAGTTTCTGCTGTACAACAAAGTGAATTAGCTATATGTATACATATATCCTCCCCTTCTTGGATCTCCCCTCCCCCAACCCCTCCATCCGTATGAGCAATTTTTAATGTTATACCTGGGTTCCATCTGTATTATTTACTTTCTATGTTATAACAAGCAACTCTCCCCCTCCCATTTTTTAACTTACTGCTACTTTGGCCTTATTTCAAGCAGTAATTTGCAAAAAATTGATGCACTGGATTCATTTTTCTGTTACATAGTAAAATAAATGTAAAACTTTCTCTTTGACACACACACACACACACACAATGTGAACTGTCCTTATCAGTCATAATAATGTTCAGGATGGCCCAACTCCACTAACTTGCCTCCAACAGTCCAGGTCTCAGTGTGGGTAAGAGAGGGTGACTGGGTTTACTTACTTAGGAGGAGTGATTTGCTGGGGGTCTCAGGGACTCCAGTAAAGAGAGATGGCCTTTTTTTTTTTCCTGGAGTGAGCTTTCCTTAGTTATTTGAATGACCAAACGGCAGGCCTTAATCAACATCTACTCTGAAAGAGGAAGAGTAGAAATATGACCTTCATACTTCTCTCCCCTGAGTGCTAGCTCTAAGGGGGTTTTGGATGGACCCTGGAAAAGGTGGCAAAGTGCAGGTCTGACCTTGGCCAGCACTTCAGGCTCTAGTGTCCCTGAAATTCCACAGACCCAAGGATTCTGAAGGGATGTGGGGAATGATGGCCCATGAAGTGGGGGAGGGGACACTGGCTACCAGCTGAGATTAGTCAGTGACTCAGAGGCAAACTTCAAACATTTCTAGGCAAAGGGCAAAGGGGATGTTTGGAGGAAAGGGAGTGGGCACAGACTGGGAATGGATGCAGCAAAAGGTCACCCTCGACACGGAGGCAGGTATCTCCATCATCAGACCTTCCTGCCCGCTGGGCAGGGGCTGCGAGGGAAGAAGCAGCCTTGCTGGGTGTTGTTTGAGGGCAGCAGGGAATGGAGGCTGCGAAGAAGCCATTCCAGTGCCGTTTTCACTGGATAACCTCCTGAGATTGGGAGGCCCGTGCCCACCCGGGAAGAAACTCTGAGTTCAGAGACAGGTGCCCCAGGAGCAAGTCCCAGCCTCTGTCCACTTGTTAGGGGCACGTGAGTGGCCACTTAGCTTTGCGGAGCCTCACACTCTCCTCCTGTAAAACGGAGCTAGTACACCTCCGTCACAGAGCCACTGTCAGTCTCTAATGAAATAAAGCTTGTGATGTGTTCTGAAGATTGTCATGTGATTGATCTATAGCAAGCATTTTAATTCTCATAATCAGGTTGTAGGGTGTTTTAAAGACAGAGTCGCTGGAGAAGGAAATGGCAACCCACTCCACTATTCTTGCCTGGGAAATCCCAAGGACAGAAGAGCCTGGCAGGCTACAGTCTTTCAGGTCACAAAGAATCAGATGCGACAGAGCGACTGAGCACCCATATGCAAAGACTCCTGGGTGGGTCCAGCTGGGCCAGGTCAGGTCATTTGAATCCAGCTCCCTGGGTGGCAGTTCAGGGAAGGTCCCACCAGCTTGGATGCCCCCTCCCTCCTTCATCCTACGCAGCCTGGAGAAGACTGGCAGTACAGAATGGTGGTTGGGGTCTGGGGGACCAGAGTGTTTGCATTTGAATCCTGTCTTGGTCCCTGAGTAGCTTCACAGCCTTAGGCAAGCAACATAACCTTGCTGTACTTCACTTTTCTCATCTGTAAAATGGGGATAATACTGGTGTGACCTCACAGGATGTTGTAAACATCGAATCACACACGATAATTTATAATGCATCTGTATATGTAAAATGATAGGCAATAAAGTGAGCTGTCAACAAATGTGAACTTTCCTTAGTAGCCATGACAATAGTAATGTCATTCCAAATGGCCCAACTCTATTGACCTCCCTGCCAATTCATGGAACACTGGGACCTTTCCACCCTAGCACATCAGCCAGGAAGCTAGGAAGAAAAAAAACAAAACATTAGAAATCTCTGCAAAAATGAAAATGCCTTTTTGGGGGGGAATAAAATGGAGTGATTGCAGACTATGGAAAGCTTGTATGACTTAGATCATAGTACATCCAAAACCCAGGGCTATTTCCAATGATCCACTCCTGACTTTCTGTAGAAGGAAGCTCAGCTTCTCCACCAACTTGATCAGTGGGACTTTCTGTGGCTCCAGTGCTATTTCCAGTGATGAATCATATGCTTTAAGACTAGAAGGGATCCTAGAAGATCACTCAGGCCAATGGGATGGTGGGGTTCAAGGGGCGGAGGGGGGGGAGACAGTAGACTGAGGAAGTTCAGTTCTTCAGGGGGAAAAAACCACTATCTGCCTCCCATAGAAGAAAACACCCCCACCCCCTGCTGCAGAGGAGGGTTGAACATGCCTTCCAGCAGTTCCTTAAACAAGTCTTGAGCACCTGCCTCAGTCCTATGCCATCCAGAATTGCACAGTTCAGGAGAGG